GGTGCTGCAGAAAGCGCGCGCCCAACCACTTTCGCAGATTTTGCGAACCAGGCAGACCGCTTCGTACGGCAAAATCAAGAATTCCATGTGCCCTTCAATTGTTAAGGCGGTCGTTTGCGACGACGACGGGGCTCCCAAGAGATGGGTTGGGCGCCGAACAAGGGGCCGCCCCCGCCAGCAGTGGGCATGTGAAGTGAACAAGATGTTTCAGCTTGTATGGCAGCGGTGCCCCTTTTCCCCTCCCCCCTTTCTCCCCCTCCCTCCCTCCTCTTGTTTTTATATCTCACAATCGCTTCTCTGTGCGCTCACAGTCGCTCTGTAGCTGCCAGTTTTCCCGGGGAGCTGCCAATCGTGCGCTCCGTCCCTCTGGGCGCTCGGCCCCAGTGGTGGTGGTGGATCGTGAAGGGCGCAGAGCAGCCGCGCGGGCCGAGTGTGCCCCACGCCACATTTCGAGTGGCAAATCGCGAGAGCAAGAAAGTCGTTCCCTTCGGCCGCGCGCGCGCGCGAGTCGTGGCCCGCGCCACATCTGCAGTGGAGGGCCATGCGGCTTTCGGAATCAGCTTGGCATGGCGACGTGCACCGCACCACGGTTTTAGTGGACGATCGGACTGGGCAAGGAAGCCGCTCCTTTCGTCCGCGCGCGCGGGATGTGGCCCGCGCCACGTGTTTGATGCTGGACCGTGCGAGTATAGGGGTGCAGCTTCGCACGGGGGACAGCGTTGCACCGCATTTTGCATGTAGGATCGTGAGGAGTCCAGGCTTCGCTCCCCAGGAGGCGGGGACCGAGAGAACCCTTTCTTCGTTCAGGATTGCATCACTGCTGCTACAGATTGCTTAGGGCTTAGGGCTCAGGGTCGAAGACAAGGCCAGGACAACATCAGACGGGCATTGGTCAAACATCTCCGAGATCTTGAAGGGGCCCTGGGACACACAAATAAATACACACAAATAAAAAGATTCCCCATATTTTCCCACATTTTCTGGGTGTTTGTCTTCCCCCCCACTTCCCATATTTTCCCATATGCTTTGGGGAAGCGAGGATGAATTGTGTCTGTGTGTGTTTTCCCCTCCTGAGATCTGGCAGTCCTGCAGGATGTGTCGGGCGCCGCGGCCGTCCCAGGGCGCGCAAGAAAAAAGCTCGGAGAGCCTCCTCCTCCTCCTCCTCCTCCTCCTCCTCCTCCCTCCCTCCCCCCTCCTCCTCCTCCCCCCCCCTCCCCCTCCCCTCCCCTCCTCCGCCTCCGCCTCCGCCTCCGCCTCCTCCTCATCCCCTCCTCCTCCTCCCTCCTCCTCCTCCTCTCCTCCTCCTCCTCCTCCTCCTCCTCCCCCTCCCCTCCCCCCCCCCTCCTCCGCCTCCGCCTCCGCCTCCGCCTCCTCCTCATCCTCCTCTCCTCCTCCTCCTCCTCCTCCTCCTCCTCCTCCTCCTCCTCCTCGAGCGACGCCTTCCCTTCCTGACGACCTACCAGACCACCCCAACTACAGGCCTCCTAGACGGGGTCGGACTAGCGCGTCCAGGAGCGCCCAGGAACGCTCTGGAGCGACGCCTTCCCTTCCTGACGACCTACCAGACCACCCCAACTACAGGCCTCCTAGACGGGGTCGGACTAGAGCGTCCAGGAGCGCCCAGGAACGCTCTGGAGCGACGCATCCCCTTCCTGACGACCTACCAGGACCACCCCAACTACAGGCCTCCTGGGTGGGGTCGGACCAGATGGGGTCGGGGGATCGCGCCGCACCGCCGCTACATCGCCGATGCACCGGCGATACCTCGGCGACGCATCGTCGACGTCGACGGCACATCGGAGACGTCGACGTGGAACAAATCGGGCTCCGCATCGAGCTGCATCGCCGATGCATCGGCGATGCGGCACCATCCTCCGACCCCATCTGCTCCGACCCTATCTAGAAGGACCACCCCAACCCAACCCGAAGACCCGAATCTTGGTTGGGGGGGTACGGGCTTCACAAGTCTTTTCGCCATGTTCCCCGACCCCCCCCCACCACCACCACTGGAAATGCAGGGCACATCGGGTCCTTCGGGTTGGGCTGGGGTGGTCCGGCGGGGGGGGGATCTCCCGGCGCCGCCCACACAGGAGAGCCCCCGGGGGGAGAGCCCAGGCCGGGACGGCCCCGACGCCCTCGCGCCGTGAAGAGATCACGGGGGGAGCCTTCGGGCCGTCTTCTGCCTCCAGGGGGCGCTCGCCAAGCCCCGGCGACCGTCACGTTTGGACGCCCGAAATGGGTACGGAAAGAATGGGCACAGTGCCCAACAACAAATGTTGTCCCAAACCAACAGCGGCCGCTGTTGGGCAGGCGGCCTTCTGTCTCAAATGGACACAGGCCGCGGCGGCGCGGACAGCGGGCCCTGTTCAAAATGAACAGGAACTGCTGTTGGGCATTGTGCCCGTTCTTTCTGTACCTATTTCGTGCGTGCAGATCACGGAGCGACTCGACACGAGAAGCCGGCCCTTACGCTGGGGAGCCACGCTGCGAAGAAAGAAGAGCAGAAGAGCGACGTCTGCTGTCTGGGGCGGCAGGCCCTCGAGGGCCGGGCCTGGGCGGGGGAGGGGGAAGGGGGAGGGGGAGGAGAGGGAGGAGGGGAGGGGGAGGAGGGGAGGAGGGGGAGGGGGAGGAGGGGGAGGAGGGGTGAGGAGGGGGAGGAGGGGAGGAAGGGGGAGGAGGAGGGGAGGAGGGGGAGGAGGGGAGGAGGGGGAGGAGGGGAGGGAGGGGAGGGGGAGGAGGAGGAGGGGGGAGGGGGGGGGAGGAAGAGGGGAGGAGGAGGCGGAGGAGGGAGTGCGAGCGGCCAGGGAGGAGCAGCCAAGGTGGCAAAGAGGAGCAGCGGGGGGAGGGTAGGGCTCCTCTGGGATGATCCGAGAGGGCACCACGGGTACAGCAGCCACCTCTGCTGCAGCAGGCAGAGCAAAAACTAACAAAGCGCTGCGGAGGGGCGCCGCTGTCTCGATTGGAATACAGGATATATTCAGAAGGCCACTTTTTTGGAGTTCCGAAACGGTGCGGCGGTGCGGTGACAGAACGTGCGGTGACCTCGAAATCCCCCAAGACCTCACCGCACGGTCCGCCAACGCACGGCTTTGGCACCTCGGATGCCCCAGTCGCCCGAGACGTCCTCGGAGAACGACCCGAGTCCCAAAACCGTTCGGTGACTCCGAATCCCCACCGACTCACCACGCACAGCGTGGTCACCACCCCGTTTGGGGGCCCCCGAACTCGGTCTGGCCCACCTCCGATGAGCCATTCCTACCCCCCGGGGGGCCCGGACCTCGGGGCCCTGGACCTCGCGACCCTCTCGCCGAGGCTGGGCCTCTCATCCCGAGCGGCCCTGGCGGCCCCTGGGAGGGCGGAAGCGCGGAAGATCAGCCAGCGAAGACGTCAAACAGATCAGCCAGCGCAGCTCGAGCTCGACAGGTGGAATGACTTTTGAGTTGACTGTGGTGCATAATGAATCGTTCTGGGGGCTTCCCATGTTTCTTGACTCCGGCCGGGCTTCCCCGAAGGTGAGGCGTGGCCCGGTTCATCTACACCTTTGACTATGGTCTCGGCCTCCGGCCGAGGGCGTCCGCCCATCGAGCAGGGTGTCGCCATCATCAACAACTGACATAAAGCGGACTGGACTGGATCGGACTGGACTGAAGCAAACTAAACTAAGTAGAACTGTACTTCGCCGTCGGAGCCCGAGAGCTTCAAGATCAGGAGAAAATGCCGATTACATAACTACACAAGTGTCACGCGCAGGTAATGCTGAGGAAGTTAATCCCGAAACAATTTCCCAAATGCATGAAGTTGTCAAAAGCAAATGTGTAGTCGATTATAATGAAAAATACTCTACGCTACTCTACTCTACCCTACTCTATTCTACCCTATTATTCTCTATTCCAGCCGACCCGACTCTACCATCCACCCTACTCTTCTCTACTCTACCCCTCTCCTACTCATGCTCTACTGTACTAAGCTCATACTCCTTCTCTACCCTACAGTACTTGACTCTGAGATGCCCGACTCTACTCTATTCAGATCTTGTCCACTCATCTACTCTACTCTGCTCTACTCTACTCTACTCGATTACACTTCTGAGCTTGACGATTATGGGGCGATTATGGGGCGACTGTTGGGTCGCCATTGGAACAGACACGGGTAGCCATTGGAATACCAAGGGAAGCCATATGAATACAGAGGAGGTCATGAGGATAGCTGAGAAAGTCATGCGGATACAGAGGAAGCTATGCGGAGAGTAAGTCATGCGGATACGGAGAAAACCATGCGGATTAGCCGACGACTGCAAGTACAACACAGAGGGAAGTAGCAGTGGCCCAGTTCTTTCCGTCTTGAGCCAGGGCACCTGCAGGCAAGCCTATTTGGAGGAACACCGCTGATTCGAGATCGCTCGAGTCTCTGGAGGCCTGGGGCGGAGCAGCCCAGAACTCCGACGCGGTGTTGTTTCCGCAGCCCTGTCTGGATCCCTTCCCTGGGACCAGCTTTTCACCCCGAGCCGTTTCGGTGACGGTCCCAGGGCCTGGCGAGGGCCCCCAGAGGACGAACGTGGCAAACACAAAAACGCCCGTCCTGATTGCTTCACAACACGAGGAGGTCTGAGGCAGTAGACGAGCGCGCTCCACTACTCGCAAAGTAACTACTCGCAAATGGCCTGGACCCGCCGCGGGAGACTTACAATCCAGTGCATAAAGGATGCCATGTTTTTTCTGACGTTTGCGCTTTGCGAGTAGTGGAACGCGCTCGGTTGCACGGTTTCCCCCAGGGCCGTAGGCAACCCGAGGCGGAGAAGGAGGAGGAGGAGGAGGAGGATGTGGAGGAGGGGGAGGGGGAGGGGGAGGGGAAGATGGAGAAGGAGGAGGAGGAGGAGGAGGAGGGCGGAGGAGGAGGAGGAGGAGGAGGAGGACGGGTCGCCTAAGCCCTTCGGAGAAACCCTGCACGCTCGATGAGGTATCTGGGGCACTGCGCGGAGCGAGAGCTTCCGAGGAGCTGGCCATGCTGCCGGCCATGTTGCCGGCGCGCTTCGGCTGCTGGCTCGCGGAGTGGGCCTGGCCACCGGCCGGCGGCCCGCGGCTGGCTGGCCCGACTGAGGGCGGGGAGGGCGGGGAGGGCGAGGCGGGCGAGGAGGAATGCGGGCGAGGAGGAGGTGGAGGAGAAGTGGGGGGTGAGGGCGAGCAGGGCGAGGAGGATAAGGGGAGGAAAAAGGGCCGAGAGGGCGAGGAGAGCAAAGAGAAGGAGGAGAGACGGGGGAGAGGGAGAAGGAGGGGGAGGGGGAGGGGGAGAAGGAGGGGAAGGGGGAGGGGGAGGGGGGAGGGACAAGCTAGGTGCGCTCGCGTCATATCTGACGTCCTACCCCTCCCTCCCATCCCTTACCATGGCGCTGATTTTCTCTATCCGCGGACGCGTGTCGTAGCGGACCTGTGGCTCCGCGCGCGCGTGCGTAGTGGGTGGTGGTGCGCGTGCGTGCGTGCGTGCGTGTGTGCGTGGTTGTGGTGGTGGTGGTGGTGGTGGTGGTGGTGGTGGTGGTGGTGGTGGTGGTGGTGGTGGTGGTGGTGGTGGTGGTGGTGGTGGTGGTGGTGGTGGTGGTGGTGGCGCGGGTGGTGGCGGGCGGATGGGCGCGCGAGAAAGAGGCCCGCGCTGGGGCGAGAACGCCATCCTGAACGACGGAGGCCAAACACCGATCCGAAAATGAGGCCCACGCTGCAGCGGGAGCACGATTCGGAACGATTCGGGAGCAGAAATGAAGGCCGGCGCCTCAGCGAGAGCAGCATTTTGAAAAAAAAAAAAAAAAAAAAAAAAAAAAAAAAAAAAAAAAAAAAAAAAAAAAAAAAAAAACGCAAGCGAAAACCCGTTTCCCGGGAATCCTGTGTGCAAAAAAACAGCACGCGGGGGGGTGTCGGATATCTTCGGGACGCCATCAGAGGAAGTGGGAGAGTATTTTTCATATTGTGTAATTCTGAAGGGGGAGGGAGAGGGGGAGGGGGAGGGGGAGGGGGGGGAAAGGGAAGCAGGAGAGGGAGGAGGAGGACGAGAAGGAGGAGGAGGAGGACCAATACAACCCAAGACTCATCAACGAGGTTGGAATACACCATCCCTCCAAGCTCCCTCTTCATACGCCACTGCACGGATTCACTTCCACTGAAGGAAGTGCCCCGTTGAAGGACTGCTGTGTGAAAATCCTGAAGCGTGCCACAACACCATGTTCAAGAACTCAACGCCACGAGTCGACCTGACTGTTGCGTCTCGACGATCCTGAACGGTGCCAGAACACCATTCCTGCGAATTCAACACCGCGAATAAACGTAACTGTTGCGCCCCGACAATCCTGAATCGTTCCAGAACACAAATTCTGGTACGTTCACCGTGAGAACCAATGAAACTCTAGAAATATGTTAAACAGCATGAGCGCGGCGCGACGGCGAGAGCCTCACTTTGAAAAGGAACAGCCATCAATGTGCGAAACCCTTCCATGTCTTAACGAAAGTGCGCGGCGCTAAGGCGAGAGCCACTGTTTGAAACCGACTCGCCCTATACTGGTGAAACTCTTACACACGTTTGGAAGGAATGTGCGGGGCGCCAAAGCGAGAGCCACAGTTTGAAAACGAACCGCCCCCAATCCGTGAAGCTCTTGCTAATGTTTGACATGAATGCGCGCAGCGCTAAGGCGAGAGCAACAGTATGAAAACGGCCTGCCCTACATTGGTGAGACTCTTCCACTGTGTTGAAACGGGTGTGCGCGGCGTTAAGACGAGAGCCACATTTTGGAAGCGACCCGCACTCCTTCTGCGAAACTGTTGCCAGCTTTTAAACTTGAGACTCATGAATGGTGAGGAGGTCTGAGGCGAAACGCCCGTCCCGCCCTTTGGAGTCGCCTCGGGGTGCGACAGGGACGAGATATTCAGAAGGACGAGGAATGGAGGAGGAGGAGGAGGGAGCAAAAAGGAAGACGGGAAAAGGAGGCCCCATGAGGAGGAACAGCAGAAGGAGGTGAAGGAGAAAGAGGCCCAGGGGGGGCAAGGACATGCAAGAGGAGGAAGAGGCCTCATCATCAATGCTCTTTCCGCCTCTTCCTCCTCCTTCTCCTCCTCCTGTTCCTCCTCCTCGTCCTCGTTTGTTCCTCCTCCTCCTCATCATCAGCATCATTCTTCATGTGAGTATGATTACTACTACTACTACTACTACTACTACTACTACTACTACTACTACTACTAGTAGTAGTAGTAGTAGTAGTAGTAGTAGTGGTGGTAGTAGTAGTAGTAGTAGTAGTGGTAGTGGTAGTGGTAGTAGTAGTTGTTGTTGTTGTAATACTAGTAGTAGTGGTAGTAGTAGTAGTTGCAAAAAGTTGTAGTAGTAGTAGTAGCAGCAGCAGCAGCAGTAGCAGTAGCAGTAGCAGTAGCAGTAGCAGTAGCACTAGGAATACTAGTAATAGTAATACGACTATTAATAATACTAGTAGTAGTAGTAGTAGTCGTCATAGTAGTAGCAGTCACAGTAGTAGTCGTAGTAGTAGTAGTAGAAGTAGTAGTAGTAGTAGTAGTAGTCGTAGTAGTAGTAGTAGTAGTATGATTGATGTTGTTACTAGCATGTTTCTTATGAGTATGGTTCGTGATCTGTGTACTATTACACAGCTTGCGCATGGTAGTATTACTCGTTGTCGTATTGACTTTGTTATTGTTATTAGTAATGTTATTATTCTTCTTGTGTTAGTATTATTCGCATTCATAAGAGTACTGTTCGTCTTAGTTGCAATATTTCTAATATTAGTACTGTTATTATTACTTGTCCTATTCATCGTCTTAATAGTATACGCAGTCGTCTTCTTATGATCCTTGTTATTCTGCTCATAGTGTTACCATCCTGCGTATTGTGTTTCGTCTTAAATTCTCAGTCTTGGTCATATTATTCGTCTTATTAGTACTATGCTTAATACTGTTCGTATTCAGTTCCCTTCTTATTATTAGTAGTATTATTATGTTTCGTATTGTTCGTCGCCTTTGTATTCTTCTTGCAATATTTCCCTCATCAAAGCTTCCGTCTGTAACGAGCCTAGCGGATTCAGTTAGCTGTGGCGCCGATTTCGGCGGCACGCCCCGGTGCCTGGGTGCCCGGGTGCCCCGGTGCCCAAGTGCCCAGGTGCCTGGGTGCACAGGTGCACAGGTGCTCGGGTGCCTGGGTGCACGGCAGCCCTAAAGCCCTATAGCCCCATAGCCCTATAGCCCTATAGCCCTAATAGCCCTATAGCCCCATAGCCCTATAGCCCTATAGCCCTAATAGCCCATATAGCCCCATAGCCCTATAGCTCTATAGCCCTATAGCCCTATAGCCCTAATAGCCCTATAGCCCTAATAGCCATATGGCCATATAGCTCTATAGCCCTATAGCGCTGTAGCCCTGTAGCCTTGTAGCCTTACAGCCCTGTAGCCCTATAGCCCTACGGCCCTATAGCCCTATAGCCCTATAGCCATATAGCCCCATGGCCCTATAGCCCTATAGCCCTATAGCTCTATAGCCAAATCGCCGTATAGCCCTATAGCCCTATAGCTCTTTATAGCCCTATAGCTCTTTATAGCCCTATAGCCATATAGCCCTATAGACCTATAGCCCTATGGTCATATAGCCCTATAACCCTTTTAACCCTATAGGCCTAAAGAGATTAGAATGGGGGCTTTACTCTGGAATCATGTTTTTGTAGTTCTATGCTTAGTATGGGTAACAGGTGTCTTACTATCAATTTCGACATTATTAGACGTAGTATTCATAGTAGCAGTCATTGTTTGATTCGGATAAGTATGTTTGATAGTATGCGTCGTATTGATGGTATCGTTGATTTGTCTACTATTATGAGTACTGCTACTACTACTACTACTACTACTACTACTACTACTACTACTACTACTACTGCTACTACTACTACTACTACTACTACTACTACTACTACGACTACTACTACTACGACTACTACTATTATTACTATTACTACTACTACTACTACTACTACTACTACTACTACTACTACCAGTACTACTACTACTACTACTACTACTACTACTACTACTACTACTACTACTACTACTACTACTACTACTACTAGACAGAGTAATCGAATTACTATGAATAGTGTGCTTAGTTATTGGTATTGTTATGAGTCGCATGATTATTCTTACTAAGGGTTTTGGTAATATCCAGTCCTCGTATCCTTCTTATTATTGTGGGTTACTGTCTATTGCTTAGTATAGTTATTAGCTTATTGTAAAGTATTGACCATCCTTAGTGTGATTAGTGTTTATTAGTGTGGTGTTCGCATCCTTCTTCCTTATTATTGTGTATTAGTGTTGTTAGCCGCAGCAGTATTATTCTTACTATCATTGTTATTATTAATAATATGGTTATACTAATAATACGTATTATTATTAGCATTCGTATTATTATTAGTATACACCTCCTCCTCCTCCTCATCCTTCCCATCATCATCATCATCATCACCATCATCATCATCATCATCATCATCATCATCAGCATCATCCACCTCCTCCTCGTCCTCCTCCTCATCCCCCTCCTCCTCCTCCTCCTTCTCCTCTTCCTTTTCCTCCTCGTCCTTCTTCTCTTCCTCCTCCTCCTCCTCTTCCTCCTCCTCCTCCTCCTCTTCCTCCTCCTTCTTCCTCCTCCTCCTTCCTCTCTCCTCTATCATCTCCATCATCATTCATCATCATCCCTCCTCTCCCTCCTCTTCCATCCTCCGCCTGTCCTCCGCCTCCGCTCTTCCTCCTCCTCCTCCTTCCTCCTCCTCCTCCTCTCTACCTCCTCCTCTTCCTTCCCCTCCTCCTCCTCTCCTCCTCCTCCTCCTCCTCCCCTCCTCCTATTCCTCCTCCTCCTTCCTGCTCCACTGACCTCCTCCTCCATCCTCATCTCATCTCAATCTCCTCCTCACTCCCCCTCCGCCTCACCCTCCTCCTCCTCCTCCCCTCCTCCTCTGTCCTCCTCCTCCTCATCCTCCACCTCCTCCTCCTCCTCCTCCTCCTCCTCCTCCTCCTACCTCCTCCTACCGCCTCCTCCTCCTTCCTCCTCCTCCTCCTCCTCTCCTCCTCCTCCTCCCTCCCTCCACCACCTCCTCCTCCTCCTCCCTCCTCCTCCTCCTCCTCCTCCTCCTCCTCCTCCTCCTCCCCTCCTCCTCCTCCTCCTCCTCCTCCTCCTCCTCCTCTCTCCGTCCTCACCCTCTCTCTTGCCTATCCTCCTGTACCCCCGTCCCCGTCGAGGCCCGTCTCGTGTGCGGACCCCCCCCCCCCGGCCGAGCGCCAGGGGCCCTTGAGCTGCCGCTCGCGCAGGTTCCCGACAATGACTTGCAGTTGCTCCCGCGGCGTGTAGCCTGGCAGCGGGCCTGGCGCGGGCGGGTGGGCGGCGCGGGCGGCCCCTTGCAGGGGGGGGCTCAGGCTGGGCTCGAGCGCCTCCCTCCTCCCCTCCTTCCCTCCCTCCCTCCGTCCCCTCCCCCCCCCGCCCCCCTTCCATGCTAAAACGGAGTTGCGTCCGAGGACACCGCATACCAGCCCCACGGGGGCAAGCCATCCTACCACCCTCCCCGTCCTCCTGTTTCCTCCCCTCCTCCTCCTCCTCCTCCTCCTCCTCCTCCTCCTCCTCCTCCTCTCCTCTTCCTCCTCCTCCTCCTCCCCTCCTCCTCCTCCTCCTCCTCCTCCTCCTCCTCCTCCTCCTCCTCCTCCTCCTCCTCTCCTCCTCTCCTCCTCCTCCTCCTCCTCCTCTCCTCTCCTCCTCCTCCACCTCCTCCTCCTCCTCCTCCTCCTCCTCCTCCACCTCCACTCCTCCTCCTCCTCCTGTTCCTCCTCCTCCTCGTCCCCTCCTCCTCCTCCTCCTCCTCCTCCTCCTCCTCCTCCTCCTCCTCCTCCACCTCCTCCTCCTCCTCTCCTCCTCCTCCTCCTCCTCCTCCTCCTCCTCCTCCTCGTCCTCCCTCCTCGTCTCCTCCTCGTCCTCCTACCCCTCCTCCGTCCTCCTCCCTCCTCCTCCTCCTCCTCCTCCTCCTCCTCCTCCACCTCCTCCTCCTCCTCCTCCTCCCTCCTCCTCCTCCTCCTCCCTCCTCTTGGGGGGAGGAAAGGAGGAGGAGGAGGAGGAGGAAGGGGAGTGAGGAGGAGGAGGAGGAGGAGAGGACGACGAGGAGGAGAGGAGGAGGAGGAGGACGAGGAGAGGAGGAGGAGGAGGAGGAACAGGAGGCGGAGGCGGAGGCGGAGGCGGAGGAGGAAGAGGAGGAAGAGGAGGAGGAGGAGGAGGAGGAGGAGGAGGAGGAGGAGGAGGAGCGCGAGGGAGGGGAGGTGGAGGAGGGGGTAGCAGCATTGCTATTTTCGTTTGGCAGCCGCTCTCGAACATGTTTGAGAGGGCAGGCGGGAGGACAATCCCACGAGCTGACCGAGTCGCCTGGGCAGGTGACAGAGTGCCCTGTATGTGGTCTATTTTCGCGGTGACCCCCAGTCACAAGAGTGATCATCCGCAGCGCCTCCGCCCCTTGGGGGAGAACATGCTCGGGCAATAGAGACTACCTGCGGACGATGACGTCCGCGACGCCTACGCCTCCGTCGGGCGACCTGGAAATTCTTGTTCGGGGCCACCCGCGCCACCTCAGTCCGTGACTCTGCCCCGAACTTGATTACCCCGATACGCAACACGCAATCCGTAGCGTGTTGACACGGCGCCCATACATACATACATACATACATACATACATACATAGATACATATACACATAGATAAAATGAAAGAAATAGTCATGGCGCGAAGCGTTGGCCAAGAAGTGAACCAACACGTGCCGAGCCACCACGCAACATGGTAACACGGACTATTTGAACACCTCCTGCGCTGCGTTTCAGAACGAGCATAGCAGGGCAGTTCAGGCCTAGAAGCCCACGGAGCTGTTCCGAACTTGGCGGCGCGCTGCATGCACGACCGTCTTCGGCCACGGACGGCGCGCGCACGCAGGCGCCATCGGCGCGTAGTCTCGCCTGCACGCACAGACGACCTCACTGCGTTGAGGCGCGCGCGGCCCACGATGCCGCCCATCCCCCGCTCTGGGCCCACGCAAGACCGCGCCACCTACAGAGCGGAAACCCCCGCGCGCACGTAGTCGATGAAATGCACGACCGTCTTCGGCCACGGGATGCCGCGCGCGCGCAGGAACCATCGGCGCAGAGTCTCGCTTGCACGCACATGCGACCTCACTGCGTTGATGCGCGCGCGGCCCGCGACGCCGTCCGTCGCTGGCCTGGAGCCCGTGCAGGACCGCACCCCCCACAGAGAGGACGCCTCCATCTCGCCGAGCAGCTGGAGCAAGCGAGGCCTCCAGCGAGCCCACTCTCGGGCCTCCAGCTCGCCGCGACTCTCCTCGGCGGTGGCGCGGCATATCCGCGCGCAGGCGGCCCCTGCCGGCGCGCGGGCCCTAGGCGGGGGAACGGCCCCACGCCGTTCCTGATGACCCACGGCCAGAAACACGTCACGGCGTGCTCCAGCATGGTTTGTTTGGCGCGGCCGCGAAGCGTTCGCAGCTGCTTCTGCAACGGCCCCCCGTCAAACGCCATGTCGATGAATTCCTGCAGCGGGGCCCGCGCCTCCTCCACGCTGAGGCCCGCGGCCGCTGCCACCTGCGCGAGCTTTTCCTCGAACTCGGGGTCTCCCCCCTGCGGCGCCAAAGGTGGGCCGAGGAGCCCGCGGCCACGCGGGCCCCTGCTGGCCCGCCGCCGCGCGGCGTCAAGGGCGCACGGCCCACGGGCCAGCACCCGCGCCCAACCGCCATTCAAAACCGGCCGAGCGCCCGAGGCCAAATTGTCTGGGGCGCCCGGCAGAGAGGAAGATACACCGACGCGTTGGCACACGGGGCCGCACGCCAGAAAGATGCGAAACAACGACAATGACCACCACCACCAAGACGACAACGACGCCGACGACGACAACGACGACCACGCCGACGACGGCGACGACGACGGCAACGACGACGCCGCCGACGGCGACGACGACAACGACGACGACTACAACGACGACGACGACGACGACGACGACGACGACGACGACGACGACGACGACGACAGGGCCCGACGGCGCCAGGCCGAACCTGGGGCATGAGCAGGCTAGAACAGCATCTAAAGGCGCGTCGCCATCCAAGCCAACTCTTCAGCCCATCCGCCCAGTCGTTCTGGCAGCGGGGTTTGGCAGGCCAGCCGAACCCATAAAGATTGTAGACATCCCGCCCCCATCTCCAGATGCCGACGGTTCTGCGATGCAGCTGGGGCCCCTGGGAACGCCCCATGGTGGACGTCCAGGCTCGGCCGCAATACCGCAAGACACGATAGGCAACTCTGTCGGAAGAGGCCCATGCCACGCCTTGGCGGCGCCCCGCCCAGGCATGAGAGGGGCGTCGGCAAGTCAGGGTCCAGGACTCGATGTCTCGGCGGGTTCGCATGTCGGAAACGAGGGCCATGGCCGAAATCATATACTCGGCGGCCGCGTCGGCACATGGCGGGGGAATGACTCGCCTCAACGTGGCATTGTGACATTTAGAAGTACGGCTGGGGCCCGACACAGATAAGCGCAGGCTGCCTATACAGTTCGCGAGGGCAGGGCAGACACATCTACCCAACGCCTTGAAGCGCTTCCGCAAGCATGTTTTCTGGTTAGTGAACAGGTTCCTATGCACAGCCCAAGTCCGCCAGGCACGTTGGATCACATGTCCAACTTCGCCCGCGCAGCTGCGCGGGCGAAAGCCACGCGCGTGCCACGGACTTTGAGACCAGCAGCGCGCTCACGGCAGGGGGCCAACGTGCCTCTCACGCGAAGCGTCCCAATATGCGAGGGATAGGCGTGACACCAATCCACCGCATCTTCGGGGGCCTCAAGACTGCTTCTTTCTAAGATACGCAACCCAGCGTCAGTCATTTGCTGGGCCACGGACACAGAGCGGGCCAGGATCCATAAATTGCCAGCGAAACTTTATATATATCTATATGTATGAAATTTAATATAATATATATATATATTATATATTCTTATTTATTAAATAATATTAAATATATAAATATATAAATATATATATAATCTATATTTATATATGCACCAGGTCTTCTCCCCTGGCATCGCGAGGCAGACGCCCCACCCGTTTCTGTTACACTTGCCCTGACACCCGCGAAGCTCTCGGGCAGCAAAGTCCCCCTGGATAAGCCTTTTCTCACGGCGGACTCGATCATTCAAGGGATTTCCCGATCATTCAAGGGATTTCCCGGCAGGCAGACGCGGGCACGGGAGTCGCAGGCCTCCCGAACCCAAAAACCCATGGCTACACGCGACACGCCACGTGCGTCGAGCCCCCCGGCTAGGTGGCGATGCTTTCTTTCTATTATCGTGAAACTGTCGGATGTCGCCCACTCCACCGCCTCAGGACGGCCCCTTACACGCGTAGAACTTCTCAACCAAGTGGCGCAAGCAATAGATAATCGCACGGGCTGAGCATGATTGGCGAAAAGCACACTGGCACTCCGACCTATCTCTAGGACAGGCCGCTGGACCTCCAGGACCATGATGGACATGATTATCACCAATGCCGAAACCAAGGCAATCGGCCGAAACTCGGTCACTCGGGAGGCCTCAGTTTGTTTTCCGACGCAACTGGGCCACGTGCCCCTGCCAAGCCTTGTCAGAATACTCAATGACGGGACTCATGAGGCGTAAACTGAAGGCCTCAAGAACCAGATCCAGAACGCCACCTTCGAGCCCCATGGAACATCTCTGCGACGACCATGTCCGACCCCGCACACGACATGCTATGATTGAGCTTTCCTACGATTGTTTCCAAGAGAGAGTGGGAGAGCGGGACTTCGGCCTGCTGGTCGCCAGCCGACCACTGGCGGTAGACCCACTCGGACCGGCCCACGTCGCTGGGCGGGTCGCGGAACAGCTCGATGTAGAAATTGAAAATCCGTTCGCACCCCGCCGTGGTGGTGACCGCACGGTGGCCCTCGTCGGTTTTGAGCTCGATGACACGCTTGCCAGCTCGGCACGGTCATTAAGCTCGTCCTCGTTCGAACAGCCACGCGAGGTGGGCGGCCCAGCACCTGCCCCGTAGAGCTCGTCTAGCCTTTATCACTGGCGGCCCCAGCGAGTGGCGCACTCGGAGGTCAGTCTTCTGCCTGCGGACCTGCCCCAAACGCTTCAAGTAGAGCAGCTCTGGATCGCCTGGAGACGGCGCCATCGCCCTCGTCGCGGCACGCGCCCCGCCTCTGCGGCGCCCGTCGCTACGCCCTCTGTCAAGACTGCGATGGACGGGGCGCCCTGCCTCTGGCATTCTGCCCTCGACGACGGCGGGCCCAACTGGCTCGCCGGGCTGTCTCCGCC